TTTTTTTTTCGCATATTTCAAGGATAGTTGGGAATGTTTCAGAAATTTTAAAGATGCAAACAGTGAATATCCCTGGCTAGAGGGATTTGAAGAAAAGCTGAATTGAGGGAATGCGAACATTCTCGTCATTGTTTGATTTTAAATTTCAGGGCAACGAGGATATGTTTGAGGCGATGTGTACGCTGAGGATCGACACAAGCATCACAACCAAAGATACTGGCAATGTATGGCCTGGCACAAGCCACACCAAGGCATTTTTGTCTCTTATAAGTAGCATAACTAGTTGACTTTGTAGCGATCCGTCCACAGCATAGGAAGCCGGTAATCTATGGGATTTTGTGTAACACAAAGGCAAGAATTAACCGAAAAAGGGGAGCAATTCATTTATTGTCAAGCCGGTTGTAGCAACCAGATTGACCCTGAAAGCCTGGAAGAAGTGTGGAAATATTTTGAAGAGACTTGCCTTAACCGGAGACTGTTGTTGAGGGCTTGTGGGGGACAGAGTGTGTGTGTGCGTGTGTGTGTATGTGTGTGCGCGTGTGTGTGTGTCGATGGCCTTCTCGTGAGTGTTTATTGACCAATAATAACAATACAGTGACGAACATAGGTTAGCAGAGGGCGAAGGCCTAGTTATCTACCCTAGTCTACCCTTCTAGACGCAGGGCAACATTCTTTCTAGAATGTTCCGAAATGACACGAAGGCGCAAAAGATTACAGCATGAAAGAACAGTATGAGGAAAAGAGGTAAGAGTGAGGTAAGACATTTCGGTCCATTAAGTCATATACGTCTTAGCTCAACACCGCGCGACGCTGGAGCTCATCAGTATGACGGTCGCAATGCTTAATGGAAAAGAAAAAAGACGGCAGGAAGAAATGGGAGGGGAAACGAAATGATTGTGAGATCAGGAGGAGTAAGAGTGGGTCGAAGAGGGAGGAAGAAAGGGATTTTAAAAGAGAAACTTTTACTGAGATACCAAATTGTCATTCAGAAACGAGTGGCCGAGAAAGAGAACGATGCGATGCTGGAGGGTCTGCCTCCACTGTGGAACGATAATTCGCCACCATCGGATTCACGAGATGCGGCAACACGTGCAGATGGCAGTGATGAAACAGAAGATGGAACAACCAAAACTTCTACGCTGGGCAGTG